CACATCTACCTTCATAATTTTATAAATAAATTTCATTCCTCGTCGACCACCCATCCAGTCTCATTAAACAACCAAATAGATCTAATCAGGAATGTCACGATCAGTAATCATCGTAATTGAAATTCGACCCAAGAGTTCTCTTAAATATACCCTCGAATGTAACAATCGACTAACATAAATTCAGTTGTCCCGAACGAACTGTCACGTCCAGAAAATACCCTATTTATTAAATACCCTGCAGTACTCTCCCTTATAAAACCTAAGAGCATCGTTAAATACGAAGTGGGTTCGAAACATATTATGCTTCTCTTTAAGACATTCGTTCTCAAACGAGAAAAAAAAAAATACTTCCTACCAGCCGTCTCTACCAGGGGAATTCCAGCCAGAATAGATTAACAAATTAATCTACCTCAATGCAAACATTCTAAAACTCAATGTTATAAATGTCATCGGATTGAAATAAATAAACTCTGCAATATTTTTTACCTCTTAATCTCGAATCGCAAGAACCCCCTGAAGTGCTAAAGTATAAATTCCTTCCTACTGTTGCGTGATCCTGAACACAGGTCCGATCCTCAGGAAGAATCTTCTTAAGACGGACCTCAATTCTGGTTTCAGATCGAAGCACATCACTTCGCAGAGCAGCGGATAGCAACTCGACGAGTGGACGGCGAACCGGTTGTCGCTCATCTTAAGGATCCTCGCGAGCAACAGTAACAATATGGGCGTCCAAGCGTCCCTGTGGGCCTCATTGGAGAGCGCTAGGAAATATTCTAAAGCCTCGCAGGCGACTTCGACCAACCTGTCCTCGACTTTGCTCCAATCTGTTCTATGAGCTTCGTCGCTGTACATCTTGAAGAGGATCCTGAGCGCGCAGGCCAACGACTGGGTCTCCTGCTTGAGCAAGTTAGGCTTCGCGTTCCCCCGGAAGCCAGCCTTCCACAACACGTTCCGTTGCTCGTGGTCGGAATTAAAGCTCTTCGCGAACCTGTGCGATTTTAATAAACACTCGACTAATTGTAGCAAATGCGCGGTGGTCAAAGCGCAGTACATCCCCTGTTCTTCCTTCTGCTGATCGGCTCCGGCCCTCGCGCCTAACTCGCAGGACTTCCCGTTGAACATGTCGGCTTGTGCCAACGCGAGATTCTCTTGGTCCTCCTTCCGGGAGGTAGCCGGGTAGAACACGATGTTGTCTATCGTTTGGATCAACTCCAACTGTACGACGCACTTTATTAACAACGCGGAGAAGTCTCTGTTCTTCGTGGTGTCACCGACGTTCGAGAGACTCTGGACACTGTTGCTTCTTTTCAGGATACCCATGTGACTGTCCACGTCTCCTGTGATCACGTCCAGGTCTGACTCCTTGTTAGGCGATTGGGGTTTCCATGTGAGCAACGCGGACGGCAGGGTGCTCTCGAATATAGCTAATACACACTCGCAGGTCTTCTCCCAAGTCGTCTCGTCGAACTTGATACCGTTGCTGATGACTAGGTTCTCTAAACAGTTGGTCCCGGAACGGGCTAGTTGTTCATTGTCCTGTTGAACACACCAGAGTAGCTGCGCGTACAGTTGTTCCAAGAGAAGAGGTCCTAAGGTGTCGTAGAACTGAGAGAACACGTCCACGATGGCGTACAGTGCATGGTTACACGTCGTCGTCATCCATTCTGCTTTCTGGAACGTTTAAAAAAATTCCATAGAATACTTTTCTTTAAAAACAATTCACAAAAACGACCTAAATTTTAGGTCACACTAAGGTTTGGTTTACTTACTTCGGTGTGCTGTTCAGGAAGCTTCATGTTGTCGAAGATCCTGAAGAGTACCTGGAAGAGGTCCTTCCACCAATGAGGCTTGAAAGAAGCCCCGTGCGTTTTCACCACGTCGAACAGTACAGTCAAGGCTCGCGTTCTCACGTCCAACTTGCATCTGCTCACTATGCACGATAACTCGAACAGCAGTGGGAACCATCCTCTCACCTAAACAGTTTTAAGACTCTCTTCTAAGTATACTAAAATATTTTTGATTACTTTATCTCAAACGTTCATATATTTACCCAAGCTCTGTCTTCTTCAGAAACCATGCCACTGTCGTCCATCATACCCTCGGCGAAGAGGTTAGGATTAGCGTCGATGTACGAAGCGCAAGAACGGATTAATCTAATTGCTTCCATGCTAGTTTCCGGGAAGGACGCATTGCAAGCGAATTCACTGAGGCACTTGACAGCGTCTTGAAACGAATCGACCATTATGCTAAAATCTTCCGCGTATAATTCATTTATAATTTTCCCAGTCATGGAGAACGCTAGTTCGACCACAGCCTCGTCCCTATCGCTGGCCGCGTGGTGGAACACGCTGAATATGTTCTTCCAACCCGATCGAATATTAGGAGCCTGCGAGTGTACGATTTGAGCGACGCAACGGACGACCATGTCCCGTATCACCGGCGATCTGTTCTTCTTCATGATATGCTCGAACGGCCTGAGGAAGTCCTTTTGGAACCGGAAATTAGCGAACTCGCCCTTCTCGATGAATTTAGTAGCGAGCTGTCGCAACGAGTCGACCGCGAAGAACGCGATGTCTTGACGAGGACTGCATCCGACTCTGTCAAAATGGTCGCCGATCACTTGCCAGATCCTCGACCACTGCAACCTGATTCGTCCCATGTTGTAATAAGAGATCTCAACGATTTTAGTTAAAGAGAACATCCTTGGCTGGGTCGGATGAGACAGTTCTTCTAGAGACACTTGACAGAGGGCTTTCACGAATTCTACTATGGCGTCTCCGTCGAGTCTAGTGGAGCCAGTGAATATCCTGTCGACGGCTACCACCACGCTCTGCGAACTGGTCTCTCCTATCGATTCCTTCACGCTCGGGTCCAACGAGCTGAGATTCAAGTTGTTGTTCTGATAAGAATTATTATGAGCGAGGTTGAAAGTAACTAAAGGCGATGGGAAGTGAGGTTTCGAAGGTGGGCCTAATAGCTGCGGTCTGACTCCGGTTCCGATTAGCTGCGCCAGTTCTAGTTGAGAGATGCATTTTACCACGTCTAACCAAGAGCTGCCGAGATAGTTGCCGTCGGTGTGGGCGACGGTTATCAAAGTTTTTATGGTATCTATGTTCTTCGCTTTCATTTCAGTGATCGGTGAATTCGCTGTCAATAACGTGAACCGAGCCAGGGCTTGCACGTACGCGTCCCGTTCTAACTATAAATTACAAAATAGAAAGCTTGTAACGCAATCATGGAATCGTTTGGATTTGTCTTTTTAAAGTTGAATAATGAATAACATTTGCTGATGCTTACAGACATGTGAAATATGCAAGCGATACGTATCGCACATCTGATGCCGTCTAGACAGAGGGAGGCGATTTCTGGGTCGTCGCAGTCTTGGAGGCCAACGCTGAACGCAGCTAGGAATGGAGTCCACGCGATTTTGAACATCGGTCGAACGTGCTCCAAATGTTTCGCGGTGGTGAACGGCGCCTGAACGTGGCTCACGGATTCCATTAAGTTCTTCGCCGCTGTCGATATCACTTCCATTTCTAAATTCCATAAAAGTCGTCTCTTCTTTTCGCTGGATATCACTGGATAGTGAAATTAGAGTTTTTAATTCAAATCATTTTCAGACGCAGGCTTGCTG